TCCCGAGTCGCTTCTTCGATTTCGCGTTCTCGCGAAGCGGTTGCGTCGTCTCGCGTAGAAGCGCGAGAAGCGCGTTTAAGCGCGTCCACGTGCGCGCACGTGAAGTCAATTGATTTCCGCGAGCTAATCGTTGCCAAATCGGTGATCTGTTGTAGGTTACCCCCGGCCCGGCCTGATGCGCGCCGCCCCAATCGCGACGATCTCCTCGTCACGCTCGCTTCCCGAGGTCGCACGACTGGTTGTGACCGCGGTTAGTCCCTTCCACTAAGACATACATAAAAAAATCCCGGAAGACGTCGGTCGCACTTCGCGGGCGACTACATAGGAACCATGACGACGATACCGATACTCAACATGGAGTTCAGCGAGCTCAAGGAGATCGTCTGGACAAAACTGCAGGAGCCCAAGTCTCAGCGTAAGCTGATCCTGGTCATCGTCTCGATAGCGTTGCTACTGGACAACATGCTGTACATGGTGATAGTACCAATTATACCCGATTACCTTAAATATGTCGGAGCGTTCGGAGAGATAGAGGAGCCACCGGTCAACGCCAGCGGTCCAGTTAGTCATCCTGGCCAGGATTCCGCCACGGGGGTGTTGTTCGCATCGAAAGCGATCGTGCAACTGATGGTGAACCCGTTCTCCGGCGCGCTAATCGATCGAATCGGCTACGACATCCCCATGATGATCGGTCTCTCCATCATGTTTCTCTCGACCAGTGTATTCGCGTGCGGCAAAAGCTACGGCGTGCTGTTCTTTGCGAGAAGTCTGCAGGGCGTTGGATCTGCGTTCGCTGATACCGCTGGCCTCGCTATGATCGCCGATCGTTTCACGGAAGAATCGGAACGCTCGAAGGCGCTTGGCATTGCCCTGGCGTTTATCAGTTTTGGATGTCTGGTCGCGCCACCGTTCGGAGGAGCACTTTACCAATTCGCCGGCAAGGAAGTACCGTTCCTGATACTGGCGTTTGTCAGCCTGGCAGACGGTTTCATGTTATTGCTGGTGATGAAGCCGATCAAGGAGCAGTTGCAAGAGCGCCATCACGAGCCCAAGTCGACGATACCGATCTGGCGGCTGCTGATGGACCCATACATCGCCGTGTGCGCGGGCGCTCTGATGATGTCCAATGTCGCACTCGCCTTCCTCGAGCCGACGATATCGTTATGGATGGAGGACACAATGACGCATGACAATTGGAAGATCGGCATGATCTGGTTACCGGCCTTCTTCCCGCATGTGATCGGTGTTGTGATCACCGTGAGGATGGCTAAGCAATATCCGCAATATCAGTGGCTGATGGCGGCAGGCGGCCTCGCGCTCGAAGGTCTCTGCTGCTTCATCATACCGTTCTGCAGCTCATACAAAGTGCTGATGATACCGCTGTGTGGTATCTGCTTCGGTATCGCGCTCATCGACACCGCGCTGCTGCCCACCCTGGGCTACCTGGTGGACGTTAGGTACGTGTCGGTGTACGGCAGCATTTACGCGATCGCTGACATCTCGTACAGCGTGGCGTACGCGGTAGGTCCGATTATAGCTGGCGGAGTCGTCGAAGCGATCGGTTTCACCGCACTTAACGTCGGCATCGCCTTCTCGAATCTGCTGTATGCTCCAGTTCTCTACTACTTGCGTCATATCTACGACTTTAAGCCGTTCCAGGATGAAGCGAACGTGCTAATGCAGGATCCACCCGATAAAGAATACCAGACGTACGTGCTGCAGGAACAGCGACCGATCACCGGCGAGATCGGCAACCATCTGAACCAGACGCGTATGGAGACGAATATCGATCAGGGATACGATCAAAACTATCAGACGACAGGACAAGTCGGTTACGACGGCGATCAACGTGGTTACGGCATGCAGAACACGATCGGCTACAACCAACCCGCTCACGAACAACCACCGGTATACAATCAACCGACTAACTACGGTCAATCCGGCGACTATAGCCAACAGAGGAATTACGCGGCCGAGCGTCAGGATCAACGGGGCTCCCAGGCTGACGTGAACCCCTTCAGGAGGCCGGAACCGGCGGATCAGCGACCAGCCGGGGACAGCAACCCCTTCAGGCAAGGAATGTACTAGAGCGATGGTCCCTGCCGAGTGTCGCCGTAGCGATCCAATTGATCGAGTGCACGTCCCCTTCGCTCGAGAGTGTATTCGAGTCTTCGTGACAGGCTTCCACGTATATCGGCAAGAGAGAATCGTCGCGGGACACGGCTGCTCGGCGAAACTCTTGACAACGATGGCGATCGGGACGCTCGATCAAGATTAGAGGGGTTGGAGGATCGCCGATCGCGCGGTGTCCCGCCGGATCTCGATCGTACTCGGAGTATCGTTGGTGTTTATCGGGGATAGCAGAGGCAACGACTTCCAAAGTGATTCCCTCGAAGCTCTCGCGATGGATTCATCTGCGAAAGGTGAATCCCGATCCTGATATACGTTCGAGGTTCCGCGCGCAGCTGATAATACGAATCGTGAGAAAAGAGGGGAAAGGGAGATAGGAAACGTTGCTGGATACGCGACGTTGAAATTGTAAGATGTAGAAGTAGAAGGAAAAAAGATTAGATAAGCACGCGGAAAGGACAGTGGCCGTCTTTGTCGAGAATAAGGACCTCAAGGAGAACAACTAGTCGCAACATCGAAATAAAATTAGAATGAGAAGATGGGGGGGGAGGAGAGATGTGTCGGTGTTATGGAGGAAAGAGAAAAGACAACGTTCTTTATTCGGGATGCGAGAAGTCATTGCGCAAAGTGTTAGAAGGAAAGAAAGAGGGAGGATACACGACCGCGACGAAGGCTTCCCGTCAGCAAGGACCTTCGCTCGCGGATTGCCGCTGGGCAAGTTTTAAGTTTTTAACGCTTTTTCGTTGAGAATCGTTCTACATTGCTGAACGGAAATATCATATCACTAATTAAGGCATCAGAAATCTAGAAAGTAAGGCTTTAAGTTAAGTAGGCGGTATAGAGGGTTGTGACGAGGGCGGTCGATTTGCCCTACGAATCGCTCTGTATTGGCAAAGTACTCTCGTCCGTGTTTCGATTTTTAAATAAATTTTTTGTTGCTAAGAAATGCCATAACGTTAATAATAAAATTTGGATTACGAGAATTATTTTCGGTGATTCAAACTTGAAATTTTTACGTCCGCGTATATATTCTAAAATCGTTAGTTGTTATGTATTTTATTATTAATATTAATTTTGTCAATGATAGGAGTAAGCGTTATAAACGTTGATAAAAATGGCAAATAATAATTAAAGCCGTTTTATTAAAGATATTTTATTTTAGGTAATTTTCAGAAAACTTGTTTTTATATTGTCTCTTTATACTTATTCGTCGTTTTTAAGAATAGTTTATATTTTAACAGAATCTGAAGCGATGTCTTTTGCAATATTATTCAATATATATCAATAATTA